GATTTTCCAATAATAGAGTGAAAATTACGGCTTTTCCCCTTTCACTTACGAACTAAATGTTGAAGTTGTTGGGACGCAAATCAAGTTGTCTTTTCAATGTCTTTTCAACCAATTTTTGCTGAGTGGGCAGCGCCTTAAGTAATACTTGAAGTGTTTGAGTCCGGCTGTATAAGCAGACCAACATACCTTAGCTTCTGTTTCATCAGTTTTGAAATGAAGGGTTTGCAGTTTCTCCATCTAGTGTATATTTAGCTCGTTTGAAAGTCAGGTGCAAACTTGCCTGGAAAAATGTCTGCAAGCGTTGTGGTGAAAAGGAGGCAAAGGTGCAATTACAGACAAGAGAGAGAGAATAATAAGTCTGTGTCCACATATTTAAACAGTATTAAAACAGAAGAGAAAAATCGTCGATTAAGCAAAGCTAATTGTTGCCCTCAAACACTGCATATTCTTTAGTCTGATTTATCGTTCCAGGTCACCTACAGAGGCATCTCCCAGTTTTTTCCTTTGCTGCTCAGCAGCTGACTTTGTGGTTTGCTCTGAAACTCTACACATGTTGGGGTTTACTTTTAAGCAAACATTACTTTGGAGCAAATTGCTTTTTTACAGAATCTAATTCATGCAACAAATTGTAGCACTGATGGATATGATAGTGCTATTTTCATATTTCTGTGTACTGATCAGTGTTATTTATTAAATAAATAGCTTCCCTCTGTATGTCTACTGCTCACACATCTGTGGTGCTTAAAACAAACTACTTTAACCCGTCTTCCTTGTTATTCAGGTTAAGGAATGATGATCGCTGGTGATAAAATAATGTAACAGTTTTGTGTTTTGTTTTGCTTTTTTGTTTTGTCATTTGAGGACTTCTGCTGGTAAACCAACCCCTTTTCACCTTCTTTTTTTAAACAAAACACTTTAATATTACCCTTAAATAGGACACACAAGTTCCTAATTTAAATAGAGCAGAATTTTGCAACTGTTATCTGTTAGTCATTGTAGATCGCTTGCAACACACCACTTATTGCACATGAAATGTTTTATTTTCACAATTTAGCTCTCACCATTTAGGACTTTGCAGATCAGAGCTTAGTCTGTTTAAAAGCTTTAGAAGCTCTTGATGGTTGCTAATGATCACCTGGCCCTTCATACTAATGCTTTTAGACTGAGATTTGTTAAGCAGTGTCAGGTTAATGGCAGTAGAAGTGTTTTCCATGCACATGCATCAAGCTCAGTGCAGGAACACAAGTGTAAAATGTTTTTCAAGGCCGTATCACAAGTAAGTTAATCAGCTCTTGGTGAACACATGACTGCAACCATTTTACTTTATTATATAGGGAGATCAGCCTCTTCTTTTTATCTAAAACATTGTCCCCAAGCAGGTTAGCTTCTGGACTTGGCGGACCTGTCTTCCTTACAGCCACCTCATCTATCCTGTCAGAGCTCTATGACTCAGCCTTTCATAGCAGAACAGTAAGGGTAGTTTTCCACGTATCATTGGCTTCCAAGACTTCATAACAACACAGGAACTCACATTATACAATATACTTCTTTTTTATGTGCAGATACACACAAGAGAAAATAGTACAGGTTGTCCAAACAGATGCCCGGAAGCAAAGACATAATTTATTTTTCTCCACATTGTAAATCAACCCTCAAATTAGCTCTAAATTTAGTAGAAAGAGTCTGCAAATTGTGATTAAAGGAGGATAAGTGATTGCAAGCCTTTTTAATCTAGCAGCCTGACTAGATCACAGCCTGTGAGCAGACTTTACATCGTTCGCATGGCCAGCAGCAAAAATATTAAAGTATCATTAAAAGGCAGCTTTAAATTAGCTTGACTTGATGTCTGTATCTCCCTGGGCTTAGGGAGAGCAATCTGTAGATGCCAACCTCCAACAAAAGCAGGAGACATTTCTAAGAAAATGTATAACTTTATGATAAAATGAGCATTTTCCCAAAATATTAGGATATTTGAACATTAAAGCGCTGTGTATCATTAGCAATATAAGCTGATGTGAGGGTCAGATAACAATTAAGTTACCTTGCAGAAGTATTCCTGTCCATTGAACACGTTTTGTAACCAAAAATCACACATACATCTATGTGTATGTTTTTTTTTTGTTATTTTATGTAACAGACAGTCATGAAGTAGAGCAGCATATACTTTTGATGTGAAGGAAAGAGCATTTAAAAGCTTTAGGGTTCATTTTTATTCTAAGGTGTTTAACTGCCTTTATTCACTTTAAATAAAATAAAATTTGTAATTACTTTAGGTTTCAAAACACTATAAATTATATAAAGATGCTTATAAAAGCAGCTATTCAATCTAGTCTATCAGCCATTTTAATATTTAAATATTCTTATTATATATTATTATTATATTATAATATATATATTATATATTAATAAATATTATGTTATAAAATATAATATTTTGTGTATATCTTTCTGAATGTTCATTTTTTCCTACTTGAAGATGAATCAATTTCATGTATTTGTCAACTACAAATCTGTCTTCTTCCACCCAGCCTGATCAACCTTAATGTTCCTGCTGAATAAATCATTCCCCCAGCATGATGCTGCCACTGCTTTTTCAGAATGAGCATGGTTTGTACAAGAACATTTTGTACAAGAACATTTTCCACCACATCTTTTTATATAAGTTAAAGAATTTATTTTAAGTTGACGAGGGAATCTTCCAACACATTTACTGTGTCCCTGATATAGCCTTCAGGTAGGTGGAAAGTTTAGATTTAGCTAAAAGAAAAATAAAATGTGGAGAATAAACGTCTTGCCTTAATTCAGATTTTATATATCAATACAAAAAACAACAATCCAGATGAATCCTTTAGTTTTAACTTCATAGTTTGCATGACTATGTGCTAATTTATCACTAAAAACTCCCTCAAAGCACAATGGATTGTTTTACTCATGGCTGTGATTGTTTTACTAGTTATCTGATTTAATTAAATAGATTCATTATGAGACTGAACTGAGTCTTTTGTTTGCTCTAACCATGAGGATTACGATCATTCCACTCTGTTCTAAGAAGGATATCTAAATTAGAATAGAAACAGCTCTGTTGTTATATTTATAGTGCAACTCATTGCCATGAACATTCTAACCAAGTTTTAATGAAACTTGACCACAAAAATATCATCTTTTTCATTTCTGCAGCAAAAGCTGGATTAACCATGACAACAGAGCAAATTAAAGTACTGTAATTAAAGTAGCATAACAGGACCATGAAGCTTATTATTAATATCCAGATTGTTTGAGTCGATTAAGATTAGCAGTTCTATTCATGCGGATGATTGAAAAAAAAAAAAAAAACCATTCCAAAAAAACACAACTACTTATTTAAGATAGAGGCTGAAAAGGGAAAATCATTAAGTTTTTTTTTCCGATGCGCCCACCACATATCTGTGTTGCTTTTCTTAAGAAAAACTATTAAAATTATACAATTAAATCAAGTTGTATGCTGAAAAAAATGATTCAGTATGGTTAATATTATCATCATTATTCTTACAGTGCCTTACAAAATGTATTTATCTTCTTAGAGCATTTTCTTGTTAAATGATCAAACTTCAACCTTTTTAATCAAATATCATTTGTGATATACCTTCTGTGAAATACAAATTGAAATAAAGATAATTTATTACAGTATTTTTAAAATTTATTATAGAGAATAAATCTGAATGGTTGAATTTACATGTTTTTTTTTAGCACATAAGAGGCCAACATCGAAGGAACATTTTTGCTGAAACTTAAATATTTGGGGCTTATTGTGTCAGTATATAGAAAATCTTTCCTCATAATTTCAATAAACGTTTGGTCTGGGCTTTTAATGTTGCATTTTCAATTCAATTCAGTTTATTTATATTTATTTATTTTAACATTAATAAGTTTT